ACCTCCATTACAAAAGCCCCACCTTACAAAGCAGTTACCACACTCACCAAAACGACAAGTATTTGTCAAATTGTAAGGAAATTGGAGCTGTATATTTTATTGGTTAGATTGTAAGTCCACATAACCACTTTGGAAAACAATTGATAATTGTTCAGTGTTAAATGTAGAGTTACCATATTCCTAGCCTACTGTTTTCACACAAAATTTGTACATGAATATTAATTGCATCAGTCTTCATGATGTACAAAAAGTGTAATTTCCATACATAATGAACAAATGAAATGAAAACCAAATTTGACATCTCTTAGCTATGGCATATTACTTAGTATTACATAGAATGAAGTACTGTTACCTGTTTCATAGAACATGAATGAATCCTGGAAACATGGAAAGGGAAAAAAGCCAGTCATCCAAAGCAACATGTATGATAATTGCTAACTGTCCAGAAAACTAAAATCTGCAGATTCAAAAGGATTAGTGTTTGCTTATAATGAGAGGTCGTGAAGAAATGGAGAAGACAGTGAATAGGTTGGTCCTGTTGGATGATGGGATGCTGTACGTTAGATTGTGGTGATAGTTGGAATCCTATGGAAAATATATCTCATATATTGTCTGTTTAAAACATTTAAGAACTAGAGTGTTCAAAACAATGCAAAAATAAAGGCATATTTTACTTATATATTAATTGAAATATACTATGTGGCCTTCTTTACTGTCAAGCAAATAAGATTTTTTTTTACTGTTTGAAAACATACTTTCTAACATAAGTATAGCAGTATTTAGGATAACTGTAGAACTAAGAAGCATTAGCTAAAATTTAAAAGTTATGGGCCTGGAGAGGTGGCTCAGAGGTTAAGAACATTGGCTCCTCTTTCAGAGGTCCCGAGTTCAATTCCTAGCAACCACATGGTGGCTCACAGCATCTATGTGTTCTGGTTGCCTCTTCTGGCCTCAGTGCAGGCAGAAGCCTGTATATGTAATAAATAAATAGATACATCTTAAATAAGTCGTGCTGATTGTGAGGGCACACATTTTAAAATGGAACAATATAAAGATTTGGTGTTGCTCTTTTATGGTACATGGATGTCAGCACAATGTTTATATACTGATGCCCTTTAGTGAATGAAATAAGCAAAGGCTTGAATAAGTCTCTGTGTTAGCTTTAAATCACTTCGACAGAATACCTGTGGTAGCTGAGTCATACCGAGAAAAGGTTACTTTGCCCACACTTTTGGGAGTCCAAAGTTGTAGATCAGGCAGTCCTCCCCTGTGGTGATGGTGGCAGGTGAGTAGCTTTCCATGACGGTAGCATGTGTAGGAGCAGTCACCTTCTGAACAGGAGGAGAAGACGGGGATGAACTCGCCAGGTTTGCTCCTTTTATAACATTCATGAGAACTCACAACACCCCAGGGATCTAAGGCTCTCCCACTAGATCCTACCTCCCTAGGGTTCACCACCTCCTACTTGGGACCAAGTGTTTAATCACAATGAACTTTGGAGTGGGCAGGGCAGACTCAAGTCATAGCAATGTATATCGATGTAAAGATGCCATACTATAGAGGATATTTTTTTGCACAAAAATGCAATATTATAAAAGGCATTTGTAACAATATAATGAAGTCTGAATAAAAAAATCCAGCAAGACTTCTTAATATAACTTTATAATGTAACTTTTTGTATATAGCGATAAAATAGAAAGATTCCTAAATACCAGTTAATAAACCAGATGACTCCCATCTGTTTGCCTCCATTGATCCGAAAGCTGAGGTACTGGTAAGGGTGTGAAGTGTGGGGACCAATGGATGTGTGGAATAAATGTGTCCGGAACCAGGCCATACACAGGAGCTTGCCCTCTAGTAGGGGTTGCGGTATAGTGAGGAATTATCAGCAAATAATCACTACAGCATCAACACCCGCCTCGGTCTGTTGACCAATAGGAAGATCATTGAGGTGATAAAATGCTCCCCAAAGCAATTGGGGGACTGAAGACAAAACATTGATAAAATGTTAATAAATTGGTTTGAAACACAAAACTGGTTTGTTTATCACCAGCCAGGTGATAAAATCATACCATTTTCAGACATTTGTGTATCTGTTGGAGTAAAATAACTACAAGTTAATGTCAAGTTTTAAAAAATGTATTTATTTTATGTATATGAATGTTTTGCCTGTGTGTGTGTATGTGCACCATGTGTGTATCCTGTGTGAGCCTGTGTCTCCAGGGGTCCCTGGGGATCTGGAGCTATGGATGGTTCTAAGCCATCCTGTGGGTGCTGAGAGTCAAACCTGGGTCTTCTCTAAGAGCAGCAGGTCAACTGCTGAGCCTTGTCTCCAGCCCAAATGCCCCATTTTCTAGACTATAAATGTTAGTGGTAAGTGCTAGCCCAGCAAAGAAGAGCAAGTCTCCTGAAAGTGAATATTCCTGTGTGCCTGCTGGTGCTATGTGAGGACGTCAGTCTTCCCTTTGTCTCATTTCTGAGCTAACAAATGGCTGGAGGATGGATTATTGGTTGCCTGTCTTAGGAGGAAGGAAGGAATTGGGGTGGAGGTTAAGAGTAGCTCATATTGTACCCCAAACCACATTCCAGATACAATATAATGTCCTGTGATGTTTTCTCTACTTCATACATTTGGAACATTTCTAGTTCTATTTTTTTTTAAAGGAGAAAGTTGATTCTGGTGAAGTACAGACAGCAATTTATACTGAATGAGTTAGGTGTGTAAATTCCGAGTGACTACAGGCAAAAGGCCATAACATGCTTGGTTTTGTGCCTTGTCTGGCTCAGGAGTAAGCTGTGATTTTATAAGCTCTCTGCTGCCTAGAGTCCTCTTTCTCTGCAGGGATAAATGCTGTTTGGTTGCTTGGTTGCTCCATCCATCCATCCATCCATCCATCCATCCATCCATCCATCCATCCATTGGTGTTTCGAGGCAGGGTTTCTCTGTGTAGCCCAGGTAGTCCTGGAACTCATTCTATAGACTAGGCTGGCATCGAACTCAGAGATCCACCTGCCTTTGCTTCCTGAGTGCTAGGATTAAAGGTGTGCACCACCACCACCTGGCTCATTTGCATTTTTGATTAGAGTCTTGGTTAGGAAATTCATGCTGCAAAGGATGTGACAAAGGCCACCCCAGTCCTGAGGGAGGCAGGAATCTGCACTGTCAGCATCCACAGCCCAGTTTCTTTCCCGTTTCTCCGGAAGTCCCTCCTGCCACATCCTTGGCATCCTTCTGAGAAGGCAGTCCATCCTCATTACTCTGCCGAGTAATTTTTCTGTGGAGCAATAGCAGAGACTGCAGAGGGAGAGCTGAGACAGAAAGTTAAGGAGCTGAAGGCGGAACTGTGTCTGCTGACCATAAGGACGAAGTTTTGGCTCCTGCCCAGAAAAGATGTCATACCCCTTGGTGGCATATGCCACCAGATGCCTGGAGGAGCCCCTGGAGAAGGGGAGATGGGTGGACACACTTACCTCACTCCTGATATTTGCAAGTGAAGTGTGTTACAGAACACATCCACCCAGGAAAACAGCCGATCCTGAGCAGATGCTGGGGACTAAAAGCAGTTTGTGGCCTGGTGACCTGGTTGTGATACTGATGTAAAATCTGAAACAGAATTTCTGGGAATCTAACGTGTAAAAGCATAAAGGGTGAGAAGGATGTAGTTAAACTTTTGTTAGGAGACTCAGGTCTGCCCATTCACCTAAATCAGTGCTTAGGAAAAAGCTGGTGGGAAGGAAATTGCTTTAATTGAAGAGCTGGCATTCAGGGCCAGGCAGGGGAACATATACCTGCGATCCTGGCACTCCTACGGCTGAGGCAAGGGCTGTATTTAAGACCAGTCTGGTTTCAGAGCAAACTTCTGTCTTTAGAAACATAACAAAACAAAATAAAACAGCAACAGTACTGGAGAGACGGCTGACTGGGTAAGAGTATTGGCTGCTCTTTGGGAGGACCTGAGTTGGCTTCCCAGCACCCACATGGCAGCTCGTAACCATCTGTGACTCCAGTCTTTGCAGATATGACACCCATTTCTGGCTTTCTGGGTCACCAGGCTCTCACATATGTTACACACATAAATGCAGGCAAAACACCCATATGCATTAACAGTGATAACAGCAAAGCCCAATATCCTATGATGGGTAGGTAGCTGCTCTCTCAGAGCTCTGCCTTATGAATATAATAAATGTTTTAATGAAATATGCATAGTTTTACTTGGGGAGAAAGGTCTGAGCAGTCAGGGTGGCTCATCTTTGTAATCTCAGCACTTGGGAGGCTGAGGCGAGAGGATGGTTGTGAGTCTGAGGCTGGCCTGGCCACCTTGGAGACAGACCCTGACTAAAAACAAAAGCACAAAAACCTGGAGGAGTATACCTATGTATGCATGATCTCAGTCAGGCACAGTAACAGACACACTCATGATCCCAGCATTTGGCAGAGTCAGGAGGATTGCTGCGAGTTTGAGACCAACCTGCTCTACATGCTGAGTTCCGGCCAGCCAGGACTAGGTAGCCATCCCTTGCCTGTCATTGCCCTCTTCGTCAAATAAAGAAGGGGGGAAGAATTAAAGAGAAAGGATGCAGAAGATAGCAGGCTGTGGGTGGTTTCAGTCTATTGTTTGTGTGCTGAAATATAAGGAAAATCAATCTCCCAGTGGGTTCTCTCTCTCTCTCTTTTTTATTTTTTAGTTTTTGAGACAGAGTTTCTCTGAGGAGTCTTGGCTGTCCTGCAACTCGCTTTGTAGACCAGGCTGGTCTTGAGCTCACAGAGATCTGATCCCTTACCTCCCGAGTGCTGGGATTAAAAGCCTGCACTGCCATTGCCTGGCTCCCAGCGGTTTAATATCAGGAAAGTTTAACATGAAATAGAATTAAACTGAAGTAGAAATGAGTTCTAGAAAATGATGGACAGGTGTGTGTTGGCGTGCACAGCGCTCTCATGTTTGTATGGTCCCTTATCACAGAGCAAAGAGCTAAAAATCTCACTGCTTTCTAATCAACAGATCTCCCTCGGACATGGCAACAAGCGGCTTCCACTTTGTACCATGTGACACCAAACGGGCATCCAGACAGCTTGGAGCATCTGCTGTGGGCAGGTCAGGAGACTGTGGGGGCCGCCAGTGAGGTGGGGGTGGACCTAGGCAATTATCATGTCCATTCTGTAAGTTAGAGAAGAAGATGCATGCGAGGGGACTCATGGTGTAGTAAGAGCAAACTAGATTAAACTTTGGGGGCATACCGTCTTGTTTCTAAAAAAAAAAAATCGCATTATTTTGTGTATGTGCATGTGTGTTAGAGTGGGTACATGGCACTGTGTGTGTATGTGCATGTGTGTTAGAGTGAGTACATAGCACATGTGTGTGTATGTGCATGTGTGTTAGAGTGAGTACATAGCACATGTGTGTGTATGTGCATGTGTGTTAGAGTGGGTACATAGCACATGTGTATAGTGTAGGGGACAGTTTACAGGAATTGTCACCTTTCGCTGTGTGGGTCGGGAAACTGAACTCACCTCCTCAGGCAACACAGTAGGTACCTTTTATTGGCTTTTCTTTAAATTTTAGAACTTGTTTTGTTTGCTGAAGTGTTTATCTAATTACTCTTTATCAATAAAAACTTGGGAGCCAGATAGTGGGGTAAGAACCTCATTGGTCAGAGAAGCAGTGAAGAAGGGGCCATAACCTTCACTCTGCTTTCTCAATCCAAAAAGGCTGAGAATCTTTCTAAGCCCCACCCAACTACTTCCTGCGGCTCTCTGTATGTCCGTGGTCCTCCAGAAACTCTATGGCTAATTTTGGTCATCTAGTAGTGGTCATCAGAGTAGCTCCGCCCTCTGATTCAAAGTAAACTTTATTGGTAGTCTCAGTAGTGTCAGAGGGTGATCAAAATATCAAGACATGTATCCACTGTAGAAACTCTGGAGCCACAGAAAGCAATGAATGAGAATGAAATGTAATTCCAGAAGTTGTAGTCTTCTTAGATTTACTAAATTGTTTAAAATGGGATCATGTTACATTATTCTGTAGTCTGCTTTTTAAACTTTCATATCACTATATTTTCCTTTTATGATATTTTATTTTTATTTGCATTGGTGTTTTGCCTGCATGTACATCTGTGTCAGGGTGTCAGATCTTAGCGTTGCAGATAGTTGTGAGTTGCCATGTGGGTGCTGGGAATTGAACCCAGGTCCTCTGGAAGAGCAGTCAGTGCTCTTAAGTGCTGAGTCTTCTCTCCAGCCTTGCATTATATTTTCCATTCCTAAAAGGTATTTTTATAATATCATATTTATAGACCATTTTTTCCTTTCTAATTTATTCTAGCACTAAGGTAGCAGTTTTCTGAACATTGTTAGTTTTTTTTTAAAGTATATGTGTGTGCGCAACCATTCATGTATATGTGTGTATGTTTGTGTGTGTGCATGTGGGTGCTGTGTACCATGTTATGTGTATTGAGGTCAGAGGACAAGCTCATGTGTTGATCCTCACTGTCCACATCACACAGGATGTCTTTTGTCAGCTCCTTATCCAGGCTAGCTGGCCACAGGCTTTGAGGGATTTGCCTGTGTCTACTTCCTGTATCACACAGCAATGCTGGGTCAGAGTTGATGCATCTCGTGCCGAGTCCTTTATCCACTGAGCTTAGCTGTTGTTTTTTGTCTTAATGTCTGTGAGAAACTACTTCCTTCTCTCTCTCTCTCTCTCTCTCTCTCTCTCTCTCTCTCTCTCTCTGTCTGTCTGTCTCACCGTCCCTTTGTCTCTTTCTGGTTTTTGAGACAGGGTTTCTCTGTGTAGCCCTGGCTGTCCTGGAACTCACTTGAAGACCAGTCTGTCCTGGAACTCAGAGATCTGCCTGCCTCTGCCTCCTGATGCTGGAGTTAAAAGTGTGTGCCACCACAGCCTGGCAAAAATTGTCTGTCTGCCTGCCTGCCTGCCTGCCTGCCTGCCTGTCTGTCTGTCTGTCTGTCTGTCTGTCTGTCTGTCTATCTATCTATCTATCTATCTATCTATCTCCTAGTCTTACAGATTAGTGGAGCTTTTAAGTTTATCACGTCATTTTAGATTTCACATTTGGAATTAATTATTTACAAATGTGGTCATTATACTCATGAATGTGGTAAATTGTCTTAGTATGGAAGGGTTTGAGGGATGGAGATGAAGTTGGAAATAATTTGCAAGACTTTTAAAAATATTTATTTTCCACATTACTTTTTAAAAATTCTAAATGCTCCTCCTCACAGAAATATGAGAGGTTTTTTTTCCCTAGAAAGATATATTCCCTATATATCTCTAGCAAGAGCCACAGGCATCAGAGGAGGGGGTGTGAGACTGAGTAGTGGCCACAAGATGGACAAGGATTTGAGGGTGAGGGGTTTCTGGAATCTCGTCTACATCTCTGTCTATAACAAGGTAGATGTTGTAAAGAGGACGGATCCATGCTAGAAAATGAGACCTTTGCATTTTGTGGTCAATTCTCAAGAATGGAGGGAGTTGGGCAGGATGCAGTTTCTGGTGACAGATGTCAGATCCTGATAGAGAAGGAGGATGTATTAGTCAGCTTTGGTTACTGTAAAACCTACTGGAGGCAATCAACTTAGAAAGACTTATTGTGTCTTATAAGCTTCAGGTTTGGCGTTTCTAGTTCGTGATGGGCCAGCCCCCCTGGCTTTGGCTCTGTGATGAGGGTGCACTTCGTGGAGGGAGTGCATGGCAGCCAGTACTGCAGTCACACCGTGGCCAGGAAAGGAGACGGGAGGAGAAAGCCAGGGCACCACAGTCTATCACCGAACCATCTTTCACTTGGGCCCTTCCTCTTAGAGACTTTACCATGACACCTTTGGACACCAACACTTTAACACATGGGTCTTTTGGGTCTTCTAGCAGAGAAGCCATGGTTAGGACACAGAGCAAGCCTGAGGGGAGGTAGAAAAATGAGTGAGATTTGTGTATACGTCTGAGATGGGAAGAGAAAAGGTTAGAGATGAATGTCCAGGAGCAGTGGAGATCAATTGTGAGAAATGGTGTAGGGTGTCGAGATGCTTTTATTATGGTATTAACACTTGCAGGTTTTGTAGCCCTAGCAAAACGGAATGCCCCCACCCTTTTCATCAGAAGGTATTCTACTGTGGTCAGTGAGACATCAGCCTTTCTGAAGTTTGTGGGTGTGGCTGGTATCAGGTGGCACAGGAAGTAAACAGTATCACCTCCTCAAACTCCCCTCCCCACAAGCACCAGTCGGCTTCTCCAGAAAGTACTGTAAGGCGGGCGGGTCTAGAATTTGGGTCACCATTGAATAAACAGGAAGCGCTGGGTGTCAGGTGAATTGATTGGGGCACTGCAGCTAGGCAGTAGTTGAGAGGCAAACACGCTGATGCCGGTGCTCCGCCTTCGTTTGTAAACAGGGTACCTTTTGTGGTTCCATTGGCCCTGGTGATTGACCTGCATGTGTGTTTAGTGTCAAATCATTTTGATGGTGCTGGTTTCTTTTCTTCTTCATTCAACCTAGAAATAGGAGAGACATCTTCCCATTGAAAAGTCTTGATGCCTAGAGAAGTACATGGCCATCAGCTAAGATACTTTGCAGCTCTGAAATTCTTTGAGTTGGCATTTATTACCAATATTTTTAAAGGGAACCAGTGATGAAGTTATGGATTTTCATGGTTTTGTGCTTCTCACTTCCAGTTTCTTAATAGACTAGTTGCTGAAGTCGTTGTGTTTAGCAGTTTGGAAAAATGAGGGAAGACACCTGGTTGGCCCAGACTTTTCCCATCACTTCATCCTCTTACCACATCCTGTAATTAGAGAGGAGACTTGCTAGTAGGTCTTCATAAAGGTATTTTTCCATGGAAGTGGGCCTTTGGAAAGGTTGTTCAATTTCAGATCTCAAGGATAAAGTGTATCGTAGTTGTTTTGATGTATTGTATTTGAGGAATTTACAAAAGCAGGAGCCAAGGGTCTCAGGCTAAAGGGATGGAGAGAAGCCTTTTATAGATCTTTCTCCTCTTCACTTGCTAGTGTGGGTACCACGTCAGCCCCACGTGGGTACAAAGCAGGCTAGTGCCAGGTTTTAATGAAGACTACTTTGGGGACATCTTAGCGCCATGAAATTACAGCCTCTGAGGAGGTGGAACTCCAGAGACTGTTCAGTAGGGTGATGGTGCAGGAGAATTATCTGTATTCTGCCAATCATATTTTAATAAAACGCTGATTGGCCAGGCAGGCAGTATAGGCAGGAAAGCCAGACAGGAAGTAGAGGTGGAGCAAAGAGACTGGGAGAATTCTAGGAAGCTCCCTCTTCCAGTTCTGCCCAGACCACCGGAGAGGAAAGATGTAAGCTGCCCAGCTGAGAAAGGTACTGAGCCGTGTGGCTAACGTAGATAAGGATAATGGGGTAACATAAGTTATAAGAACTAATAAGTAGCCTGACCTAATGGGCCAATCAGTTTATAATCTTATGGAGTCTTGTGTGTGATTTTCCTTGGGGCTTGCCGGCTGTGGGGTACTGGGCGGGACAGATACCCCAACAAGCCGGCCCTCGTGTTACAGGGTGAGGTTCCCAAATGGCCGAGTCATTAATTATGGCGAAAATTTGAGTAAAGGGCAGTGTGGGAAGAGGGGACTCTGTTTGGATTGTTTGGTAAAGAAGGTGAGCTAGAGAGAGCCAGTATTGGTCAGGAATGCCATTTCAGTGTTGCAGGTATAACGTTCTGGATAGCACAGTGTTTGAATACACCGGGTATTGATGGACCAGACTCTTTAAGTGGTTGTGATATTTTATTAAAATTTTATTTTCTTCTTTTTATACTCTTATTTAAAAAAATGAATGAAGAATAGATTGGCCAGACCATTGAATCTGACCCTTTCTTTTTTTTAATTAATAGGTTCATTAATCTGTTGTTTACTTAAGGTGTCTGTGGTGGGAGGAGTTGCCCGTGCTGCACTCACTGGACAGCCTTGGCTGTCTGTTTGTCCTCAGAATCCTCTCCCTTTTGTTTGGGGAAGGATCTGTCACTGGGCTGGAGCTTCACCACGTAGGCCCGATCAGTCGGTCTGTGAACTCTACGAGTCTGCTTGTCTCCGCCTTCCATGCCTTTGTTGCT